GAGCTCGACAACTGGCCTCTGTAGCTCAGTTGGTTAGAGCTCGACAACTGGCCTCTGTAGCTCAGTTGGTTAGAGCTCGACAACTGGCCTCTGTGGCTCAGTTGGTTAGAGCTCGACAACTGTCTCTCTGTAGCTCAGTTGGTTAGAGCTCGACAACTGTCTCTCTGTAGCTCAGCTGGTTAGAGCTCGACAACTGTCTCTCTGTAGCTCAGCTGGTTAGAGCTCGACAACTGTCTCTCTGTAGCTCAGTTGGTTAGAGCTCGACAACTGTCTCCTCTCTGTAGCTCAGCTGGTTAAAGCTCGACAACTGTCTCTCTGTAGCTCAGTTGGTTAGAGCTCGACAACTGTCTCTCTGTAGCTCAGTTGGTTAGAGCTCGACAACTGTCTCTCTGTAGCTCAGTTGGTTAGAGCTCGACAACTGTCTCTCTGTGGCTCAGTTGGTTAGAGCTCGACAACTGGCCTCTGTAGCTCAGTTGGTTAGAGCTCGACAACTGTCTCTCTGTAGCTCAGTTGGTTAGAGCTCGACAACTGGCCTCTGTGGCTCAGTTGGTTAGAGCTCGACAACTGTCTCTCTGTAGCTCAGTTGGTTAGAGCTCGACAACTGTCTCTCTGTAGCTCAGTTGGTTAGAGCTCGACAACTGGCCTCTGTAGCTCAGTTGGTTAGAGCTCGACAACTGGCCTCTGTGGCTCAGTTGGTTAGAGCTCGACAACTGTCTCTCTGTAGCTCAGTTGGTTAGAGCGCTGCACCGGAATCGCACGCAGGGCCGCAGGTTTGATTCCTGCCAGGGACCTGTAGGTGCATTTTTCGCTTCTGTTCTTGGTTAGGTCTAATAAATATATATAAATTTCTACTCGATAATTTCCATCTACAAGACTCTTCAACTATTATTCAATCGAGTGTGATGCCAACAAAATCTCGATACGTTTTCTACCAACCTCATTTCGTCTTTCGCTACTTGTTCGTAAGATGAAGTACTTCCTAAAATGATAAACACATGTTGATTCAACTTAGAGCATAATAAATACACATGCAGACTGCTATATCCACAGGCAGTCCAGAAAATATATGCATGTATTCACTTAAAAATGCGTATAAAGTTCGTCTGACTTTGCTATCAAGCGACTTATTGTGTAGCTCATTATGTATGCAGATTCGCATTATGTATGCAGATTGTATTGTAATATTTAACAATTATTCGCCGAAGGCGAGGTGATTATCGTGGAATATTCGCCGAGACGAAGTCGAGGTTTTGTGTTTTTTGGGACTGAATTTATTTGAATTTCGATTATTTCTTTATCAGTATAACTTCCACAAAACGGCTAGCCGCCATTCTGAAAACCTGTAGGTGAATATAACAGCTGAATACATCAAATTTGACCAATCAACTTGTAGGATTTGTTATGTTCACTTGTGCAAAAATACTAAAATATTATATCCTAAGGCGGGCAACTTTTTGACAAAATACATTTACACACATTATTAAATAGGTTCGCTGACAGCAAAGTCACAAAACACCTTGGATATATTTTCTAACATTGCTAATAATTTTTAGAGTTGAAAAAAGTTTAGAAGTACTTTAATAGATGATTCTAGCTATAGCCCTCTGGCTATAGACTAAATTTTGATCTGGGCAAGAAAAACAAAATCCATGACCACAGCTAGAAAGAGCATGTTAAAATTAGTAAGATTGCAAAATTTGGCCGCGAAATGTTGTAAAATGCGGAAAATATAGCCATGCGAAATTTGCAAATTTTGTATTATACGCGCGAGAAAATGCACCACAATTTGGGCCGAAAGTTTTCCCGCGCGTAATACAAATTAATACAAAATTTGCAAATTTCGAAGGACTATATTTTCCGCATTTTACAACATTTCGCGGCCAAACTTTGCAAGTTTACTAATTTTAACATGCTCTTTCTAGCTGTGGTGATTGGTTTTGTTCTTGTTGCCGAGATCAAAATTTAGTCTATAGCTGAAATCAACTATTAAATCTCAAATTCAGAAATGTTAACAGCTTATATCATTTTCTCACTTTGATATACAATTGCTGGTTGACCATAGTTCTTAGGGACCTTGCACTGGGGGTGGGGGGGGGGGACAAAATTGCTGACTGGAGGGGTCACTAAGAGGGCTGGGGGGGACAGTCTATATGTTAAAAGAGGCCCTGTTTTATCGACATTTTTCTATAAATAGGCGGGATGCAAATTGCTCGACAAACGTCATAATCGGAAAAAACGAACGGCTTATTGCTTGAAGAAAAATCGGAAAATTCCAAATATAATATATTGCATTCCATGAACTTTGTTCATAATATTTAAGTGAATACATATATTTGCTGGGCTGCCTATATATGCTATATGTAGATGGCTTACCAAATCGTTGAACTGCCTACAAGAAAGCAAAAGAGAAAATAGTTCAATATTTGATATTGGAGTTTCTCGGATTCTTGGCATAAATTATCTTTTAAATTTCAAGTTATTGCATAAACTGCAGTGGACATAATTTCTTACTGGCTTATTTTCCTGACTTAGTGACTCGGTTGACATTTCTGAAACAAAATGACAAAACACAATGATCACTTTACACAACACAAATTACAAATGCAGTTGGGTTTCATTAAGATGGTGTTCAACCTGCAGTTACCAGAGAATGTCAATGGACCAATCCCCCAATTAACCAAAATTTTGAACTCAACACGTCTAGACAAAAATTTTGATCTTAACTAGCCTAAACAAAAATTTCATCACAGCTTGAAAGAGCATCACAAAATTAGTAATATTCCAAAGTTTCGTTGCAGAATATTGCAAAATGCGGATAATATAGCCTTGCGAAGTTTGCAATTTTCAGTCATTTTAGATTACAAACGGGAAATGGTTACCACTTCTGTGCGTAATACAAAATGACTGAAAATTACAAACTTCGCGGGTGCTATATTATCAGCATTTTACAACATTTCGCATGCGAAATTTTGGAATATCACTAATTTTGTGATGCTCTTTCAAGCTGTGATGAAATTTTTGTTTAGGCTAGTTAAGATCAAAATCTTGGAAAAGTGGTACCCGTTTCCCATTTGTAATACAAAATGACTGAAAATTGCAAATTTCGCAAGGCTATATTATCTGCGTTTTACAACATTTCGCAACGAAACTTCGGAATTTTTTCTAATTTTGTGATGCTTTTTCATGCTATGATGGAATTTTGTCTAGACTTGTTGCGATCAAAATTTTGGTTAACTGGGGATTGATCCATTATTTTCATTATATGTGGTAGTCTGGGAAGTATCTAGCGGAAACTGAACGGAAACTTTTACTACTTTGATTATGTTCTTTTTAGCTGCACAGGTGTTTGATTCCCTTCTCTTTACTTCGATTAAAATTTAGTCTAACATGCAAGTTGTCCATTCTAACCTGCTTTGATACTAGTCCCAGGAAGAGCAGGAAAGTCTTCATTGAGCATTGTAAATTCTGTCGTAGGCTCACCACGTTTTGATACTAAGCCTGCAGGAAAGTTTCAATGTTTTGAATGAACCAATTTATACCAGAGACAGATCTGACACGATTCACGAAACACAATACGAAATATCCACCGAAGAGAAAAGGGTTGGGTAAACAAGATTTTAAGCGAGTAAAAGGTTGGGTAAATGAAAAACAAAACAACTCAAGGGTTTGGTAATAAAAATTTATTGTCATTTCCAAAGCAAGACTCACTCAAATATTGAAGACTAAAAAGCAATGTCAACAGAATATGTCAATACAATATTTAAATCAATCAGAGTCACTATCTTGATAATTTTCCGATTTATCAGTAGGCAAATGGTGTCTCCAAAGAAAGTGTGCAGACACAGCCGTTCCGCACGTTGTAACCAATAATCTATTGGCGTTGTAATGCCATTGTATGCAATAAAGTATTGGGTTGTAATGGATCTACGATTAATCCAAACGTTAATCCTAATCCAAACCCTAATACTAACCCTAACCCAACCTCTAACCCCCACACCCTAACCCCTAACCCTAATGCAGATGGACCGCTAGCTAGCATGCTAGCTTTTGAACAAGTGCATGCACTTGTCATAGGAAAAATTGTCATCAAAGTACAAATTTTGTTCGTCCGTATTAGCCAGCGGACTATTATAATTTTTCTGCCAATGTTTTTCTGACACATTCACGCCAGTAAATAAAACTTGTCATATGAAAACTTGTCATAGAAAAACTTGTTGCATATACATACGTACACTTGGCAAATAAAACTTGTCACATAAAAACTTCCTCGTCTGTAACCGGCTTTAATTAGGTCAATTATAATACCAGGATGGCGGACTGCATGCACACTGTTTTTAGTCAAAATATATCGAAAACCAAGCAAGGTACGAAAAAGTTGTAAAGGGTCTTCATATATAACTATAAAAGTTCTTTCAAATAAGACGAAGTTAATTTGTATTGCCATATCCAATCAGATGCGTTTGATATATCCGGTTAACCAATCAGACGAGTGCTAGGCAAGCGAGAAATAGTGGTATTGGAAGTCGGATATGAATTTTTCTAATTTCCACCCTTGTGTTTACCGAGTGATTTCAAGTTGAGATGGCTTACTTACCATAACTGGCTCTGCCGACAAAGGAGCCGGGATTTGCTGTAGACGAGGGTGACGAGACACTGGAAGGGATATGAGCCATGGGTCTGTTTGCCAGCACGGGAAAGTCGGAGAGATCTAAACCACTATTTATAGCCGCTACGGATGATATGGTGTCTGTGTTGCTTCCCAGACCTACAGAGAATGTTTGTAGAAGAAATTATTTACGACGGTCGATGCCAGTGCAAGTAGTGACAACGACAATAGCTGGGTTTTGGGAAAAATACAACTGTCTGAAAAATATCAGGGGCGGGTCTAACCACATCTGCAAGGAAGGGTGCAAGTTTTCCATGGGGTGGTGCATGAGGGAGCCTTACTGCCCAGTCTCCTCTGCAGTCTGCAACGCTGCTATCCCAACATTATCATTATTAATTTGAGATGGCCGAATCTGCACGTTCGCCATTCTTTTTACATTATCTTTTGTTTATAAAGTTTATACCCACTTTTTAGTATACCCACGACAGTTGCTGTAAAACAGTGCAGTAAATGTGTTTGTTAAAGTACAGTATATTTGAAAATATGGCTGTATAACAACCTCGACATGTCCACATATTTACAGTCGATTTCACGAAACTTTGACCACAAATGTTCCGAACTTCTTTGCGAAGTTCAAAAGTTCATAATGAGATTGACAAACCAGTTTGTAAACTACGCATTTGATTGGCTTTCTTTCACTTCAGGGACCAATCGGGAACTTTGTTTACAAATTGGCTTGTGAATTTCAATGTGAACTTGCGAACTTCGCCACGAAGTTCGGAACATTTGTGGTCAAAGTTTCGTGAAATCTGTGACCATGATATTTAACTAAAGCATTCCGAGTATTTTTTTCCCGAGTTCACAAATCGTTTCAAGAAATCGACAAGCGCTAACAGTAAAGATTTCGCTAACGCTATTCGAAAAGCAGAAAATGTATGGTCAGATTTTTTTAGGGTGGTGCTGGACTTCTCTAAGGGGATGCGGTAAATCATGGCCGGATTTTGAGGGGAGGTGTGGGGAGGTGCGAACCTCCCCTGAGATCGGTTTATGCGCGATATACCAAGTCATGGGTGACGTCACAAGTCAAGAGTGACGTCACACCAATAGGAGATAATGGAATTATATCATTTCGTGTTGTTCTTTGTTTTTTAAATAATAATTTTAGCTACCTATTTGTTTTGGATCGTCAGGCTTTTGGCTGGTGCATTTGGATCGTTTCCTTTTTGTAGATCATTTGGATCATTTGCTTTTTGTGGATCATTTGCTTTTTGTGGATAATTTGAAACCTCCCCTTGGGAAACCAAAAAACCTCCCCTTGGGAAAGTTTCAATGATAGATCAAAGTGAAAATTTGACATTTTTTGGTTGCTTAGGGTCTAAACTTCATAATAAAGTTTTTCTGTAAAATTGAAACAATGATAGCCATTCATCTCTGTGTCAAATACTCTTTTAATGCAATGTTTTGAAAGAAACTTTGTAGCAATTGTAATGAAGGGTAAAATTGAATGAGTTGTACAGTCATCATTAATACACCGATACATATTGTACAGTACATGCTACACGTCGTTGACTTTGGTCCGTTCTTCGCCCTAACTTTCTATGAGGATCGTGAGCTAGACCGCTGCACCTCCCCTAATTTTTTTGACACCTCTCCCACTATTTCCACCAAAATCCGGCCTTGCGTAAATCCGCCCCGGGAAAATATAAAGAGAACTTTCGACGTTACGAGCGAAGGCCCTGCTGTCTATATTTTTGAGGTAACTGTATTTCTCTTACACCACACTTGTCTGTAAAGAGACCACTACCCTTAAGGGACCATTAACCAATCAGATGGGTTTGATATATCCGATTAACCAATCAAATGGGTATTGGGTACTGGGCCTGTGAGGGGTAGTGGTATAGTCAAATCTGAACTCTGAAGAAGGCTGCACTGAAATAACTTTATTAATAATATACATGAAAAAATTGCTCAATTCTGATTGGCTAAGAGCAGTACAATTTTTTCGAAATACATGCAGTGCCAAAAGATGAAATACCCTGACTATAAGATACAGCCATTTCTAGCAAAAACTAATACGAAAAACCCAAACATTTACAAGTGATAAAAATGGCTGGCGTTTTTAGTAGATTTCTATTAAAATTATTTCTATTAAAATTAACTATTTCCCATGTGACCAACGCAAGCATGTGACTGGACAATTCTTTCATGTATATTAAGGGCTACAGTTTTCAAATAATTTTAAATATTAATAATAATAAGATTAAGTAATAGTATGGTTTCTCGTGCAAAACATATACTCGTGAATTTTTCAAAGACTTCAAATTACACTCGTCCTTCGAACTTGTGCAATTTTGATCGTCTTTGAAAAACTCACTCGTGCATTTTCCCCCAAATTGCACTCTCGAAACCATAGTAAGTCAAGTAAGGTCCATTCCTTGTTGGTCCAGTGTTACTGAAAGAAGAAAGCGGTGGTATCTAAATCTACTCTAACTCTAATAAACAAACCTTTCTTTGCAAAAGCAGACACAAGAGACTGATGTTCCTCTACTACGGATTTATAATCTGTTCTCCCTACCAAACGCTCTGCCTCTGAACGATAATCTTTAAACATATTTCAATAATAACAATATTGAGCACAGATCTTGTTAACAATTGAAAAGGGCAGTTTCTTCTACCTACCTAACATAAGATGATTACATTAATTAAGGTCATGATTTCTGATGGAAACCATTGCCGCGAAACGTAGGTCTGTTTTCAGGCTACATATGTTTTTGTTGCTTACCGGGTGATGAAAACGCGTTCACCATCGATGACGTTGGTAGACCAAAAACATTCTAACAAAAAAGAAACACAACATTTATGTTGTAGTAATGATGATGGTAGTGATGATGGTGATGAAGGTGTAAGTCTGTAAGATGATGGTGGTGGTGATGATGATGGTGGTGATGATGGTGGTGATGATGGTGGTGGTGATGATGGTGGTGGTGATGATGGTGGTGGTGATGATGGTGGTGGTGATGATGGTGGTGGTGATGATGGTGGTGATGATGATGGTGGTGATGATGATGGTGGTGGTGATGATGGTGGTGGTGATGGTG